CCAATTGACATACCCGCGGAACCATTTTACCGTGTTGGGTTAGACCTGCTTAGTCCTTTTCCCACATCAACATTGGGAAACAAATGGATAGCCGTTATTACAGATTACGCTACACGGTACGCTATTACGCGAGCTCTACCGACCAGCTGTGCAACCGACGTCGTTGACTTCTTGTTACGGGACGTTATATTGATTCACGGTGCTCCGAGACAGCTTCTCACAGACCGTGGCCGTACATTTGTATCTCAAGTCATCGCCGACATTCTGCGTTCTTGTTCCACGCAACACACACTGACAACCGCTTACCACCCTCAAACAAACGGCCTCACGGAATGATTTAACCGCACTTTTACAAATATGCTCGCTAAGTACGTGTCGCCCGACCACCGAGACTGGGACCTTGCCTTACCCTACGCAACTTTCTCGTATAGTTCATCCCGTCACGGCAGAGTGGGCTTTTCGCCGTTCTACTTATTGCACGGAAGAGAGCCGACTTTACCACTGGACACAGTCATCTCAGCTCACACTTCGTCCACCACCGAGTATGCCCGCGACGCGATTGCGCGAGCCGATCATGCCCGTCAGCTCGCTCGCGCTCGGCTGATGGCGTCGCAAACCAACCAATGCCGTCGGTACGATGCGGAACATAGAGACGTACATTTTGCTCCCGGTACCCTCGTTTTACTCTGGTCCCCTCATCGTCGGCTGGGCCTATCCGAAAAACTTCTGTCTCATTACACGGGACCCTACCGTATATTGCGTCAAGTAACACCTGTCACATACGAGATCAGCCCCATCTGTCCATCATCATCTACTATGCGGCCCAGTGATATCGTACACGTCTCGCGGATCAAGCCCTACAATAATGCGTCAGATAACGACCTTTAAAGCACCGGGACGGTGCCTCCGCCGCCAGGGTTCATGCTACGTGCCAGTGCATGGAGCTGAAGAAGACGAAGGAGATAGACTGGCGCGAGCTAATCTGTGTGGCTGGTAGGTAGGTAGGTAGCAAACTTTATTCACTCAGTTGACAGGAGAGAGTTGGGGACGGCTTTAAGGGCCGGCCCCTTACAAAATCTAGGAGGAGTCCCTAGTCCGGGACCCCCGTGGCTTCTGCTGCAGCACGCGCTCGGGCCACTAGGGCACGCTGGTCCTCTAGGGTCGAGCAACCGAGCAGGGCAGCCTCCCAGCTCTCTCGGGTAGGGAGGGAAGGGGAAGGAAGTGGCGGGACCGCGGGATTTGAGGGGCATGCCCACACCATATGGAAAGGATCCGCGAACGGATGGTCGCAGCGCGGGCATTCCCCAGAGAATGCCGGATTGAAATGTTTGAGTATCGCCGGGCACAATACTGTATTGGTATAGAGACGGAGGAGCCAGCGCTCGTCCTTCTTGGGCAGGCCCGATGCTGGGGGTGGGAAGCGGAGCCTGTTCGATTTGTACATAGCGGTGATTTTTCTGAAAGAGATAGCCGGATTGGGTTCTGGAACATCAGGCGATGGAGGGCGAGGCGGGTCCCGGTAATTAAGCGCGCGGGCCGAGGCATCTGCAGCCTCGTTTCCAACTAGCCCCGTATGAGCAGGAGTCCAGATGACGGTGCGTGGATTTGGGCGATCTAGATAATAGCATCGCTTAAGGATTTCGGCGGCGCGATTATTGATGCAACCCCGTGTGAGATTTTGGCACGCCCTCCGCGAATCGGTAATAATTATCCGAGATGCGGGGTCCGCTGCGGCGAGGGCTATGGCGACCTCCTCCGCGTGTGTGATGTCCGGTGCTCGAAAGGTGAGCCCTTGAATAGGTACGTTTTGGTGAACCACAGCGGCCGTGTACCACCCGCCGTGGTGGGGGCCGGATGCGTCCGTGTAGAAGACTCCCGGGCGTGAGCCATACCGTTGCTGTAGGGCTGTAGCCCGCGCTGTACGCCGCCCATCGTGAGTCCCATTTGTCATGTTTTGGGGCAGAGGCGGAATGATCAGTGCACCACGCCAATCCTCGGGGATCGCGGTACGCTCTTCCACCTTGTGGGTGTTGGAAATGTGGAGGCGGTGTAGGAGGTTGTTCCCATCCTGAGACCTACTAAGGCGCAGGTACTGGTTATTGAGATGAGCCTCTTTAAGTTCCCCGTACGTGTTTGTCATGCCCAGGTCTGCGAGACGTTGGTTCGACGTTGAGATGGGGAGGTCTAGGGCACGTTTGTAAATTTTTTGGAGTATACAGTCTAGTGTATTCTCGTCGCACTTACGCAGACGCGGGTAAGGTGTCGAATAAAGGATCCGGCTGGTCACGAAAGCGTTGGCGAGGCACAGAGCAGCACGGCTCTTGAGACCTCCTCGCTTGTTCGAAGCCCGGCGGATCATGCGGCCCACCTGATCGCCCACAGTGCGTAGTTTGCGCAGAGTGGTGTCAATTTTGCGGTGCTTGTGTATGAAGAGTCCCGGGACTCTGATTTCGTCGCGTTCCGGAATGGCCCTGTTACACAAGGTGAGTTCAATTTGTGTCGTGTCGTTCGGTTTGGGGCGAAGATGCACGTATTCCGATTTGGTGGGTGAGCATTCGAGACTGCAGCCGCGGGCGTAGCTGTCAACTATCGACGCGGCATGTTGCAGGCATGTCTCGATGCTACCAAGGGAACCCTGAGTTGCTCATAGCGTGATGTCGTCGGCGTACAGAGCGTGCTGCACGCCTGGGACATCGTTTAGCAATGAGGGAAGGTGAGCCATGGCAAGATTGAACAGAAGAGGAGAGAGGACTGCTCCCTGTGGTGTTCCGCGCGTACCGAGGGGGTACGGTCCATGCTCCTTGTCTTGAATACGCAGGTATGTCTGCCGTTCTATGAGGAATTGGCGGACGTACCTAAAAGCATTATGCCCACAATTTGTTTGTGATAGGTTGGTAAGGATGATGTCATGGGTAACGTTATCGAAAGCTCCCTTGAGATCTAAGGCGAGGACTACCTTGTCGTCACTGGGATGTTCGACCGGTTCGACAACGTCACGATGGAGTTGCAGGAGGATGTCCTGAGCAGAGCGATGTGGGCGGAAGCCATACATAGTGTCTGCAAAAGTGTGTCGGGCCTCTAAGTATTCAGAGAGCCTGTCCCGGACCATGGCTTCCATAAGTTTCCCTACGCATGAGGTTAGGGAAATTGATCTGAGATTGTCGATGTTTACAGATTTGCCTGATTTAGGGATGAAAGTTACTAAGGCCGTTTTCCAATCGACCGGTAGGGGTTCGCGCCCCTCCCAGATCTGATTGAAGTAGTCGAGGAGGTGAATGTACGCCGAGTCAGGGAGGTTGGCTAGGAGCCGAACCGTCACTCGATCCCGACCTGGCGCTGTGCCTCGTTTCATTTTGGACAGGGCCGCCTTCAGATGGTGGAGCTGAAAGCAACGATCCAACTCGGCGTTTTCCGTGCCTGCATATGAATACGCCGGTCCGATGGGGTCCTGTTGGCTACAGAGATATTTGTCTCTGAGAGCCTGTGCCAATTTTTCCGCGTCACCCGCATAGGCGTAAGCGCGCGCTGAAGGTGTTTCTGTGTTTCTGTGCGTGTTTGGCTAGGGTCGATGAGAGCCCTAAAGAGACGCCAGGTGTTGCGGCTTGACATCTGTGTGGCGGCAGTGTTGCAGCGCTCTACCCAGTTTGAGTCGGCGAGCTGGGCCGCGTACTCGTCGGCCTCTAGGGTGAGAGCCGCTATGCAGATTTTGAGCTGTCGGTTGTGTTTCTGTCGGCGCCATCGGCGCACTAGGCTGTGCCGAGCCTCCCAGAGATGCAGGAGGTGGTTGTCCACCGCCGGCGTGGCCTCTGAAAGTTGAACCGTCTGCTCGATTTTGTGGAGTGAGTTTACGAGATGTTGGGACCAAGTGTAGTATCCTTGGTGAGCTATGGGGGTCGGATTGGAGTATACCAAGCGAAATTTGGTTCAGTCTGGAAGTTTCGCTTGGTGGTGGGGACGAGTAAGGGGGTGTGTCCGGATTGTGGTAATGACAATGCAGTGGTAACTACCGAGGGTTTCCTCGGTATTGAGCCAATCTGCGTGTTTGATGTTTTTGGTGAGTGTGAGATCGGGACATGTGTCTCGGGTAACAGAGTTTCCAATGCGGGTTGGGTGTGTGGGTTCCGTCAGGATGGTTAGGCCCATGGTGGAAATGAGTTCCGCCAATTTCCGACCACGTCGTTCCTCCCGACGATAACCCCAGTGAGGGCTGGGGGCATTGAAATCGCCTACTATGACTAGTGGTTCTTTGCCTGCCACCGTGTGAGCTTTGCTAAAGATGTCGGCGTATGTTATGTTGGGCAGTTTGGGTGAACTGTAGATGTTAAAAATGTGTATGGATGGGTCCTGCTTCCTAAGAGGGAGGAGAGTCACCATAGCATACGAGTAAGCCGGGTTGCATTCAAGATCCACCAAACTGGCGGTGTAATCTCGATGCACGCAAAGTGCCGTTTGCGCGCCCCTTTGATACACGGTATAGTTTGTAAGGGCGGCGTGTTCGCCCGGTTCCTGTAGGGCCACTACCGCGGGTAATTGGGGATAGGTTTCTAAGTGGAGCCGGAGACCAGCCCGCTTAGTGCGAGCCCGAAATCTCCGGCAGTTCCATTGGAGGATTGTGAAAGGGTCCGAATTAACGCGGGCGCGGCGCGATCTAGAGGCGTTGCCCGCCATCATGGGTATTAGAATTTTGGGTAGCCTCCAGGAGAGCAGAGAGATCCAGAGGTGCTCCACCGCTCGGTCCGGGGCTTGCTGCTGATGTTGCAGTCAATATGGTAGGCTGCCTGTCAGCCTCAGCCCTTTTGGGAAGTGGCCTAGGCGTCTGAGGTTTATTAACCCGCTTAAGTTTTGGGGTGGGACGACGGGTGCTGAAAGCGAATTGGGGCAGCTGGGCCACTATCATGCCCGGGATTCTGGCGAATACGGTTTGGAGGGCGGCAGCCAAGCGATCCTCGATAGTAGTTACTATGGAGGCCACCTGGCCCTCCAGGCTATTTAGACGCGCCTCAATCGGAGCGAGGAGTGCCGTACGTGGTGTCCCTTTGTTCCGAGGGGGCACTATCCATCGCTTCCGGCGCCTGCCCGGAAGGTGTCGAGTTAGATGGAGGCGGGCGGTTTGCGAGTGCCTCCATTGCACGGGTCAACGAGGCCACTTGGGCCCGGAGCTGTTTAATTTCGAGTTGTTCCCGTGTGGGGGCGGAATAGGTTTGAGGTTTGGGTGGGTTCGAGGGGGTTCCGGATGGGGAGGCTGCCCCGCCCGAGCCGCTCACCTCGGGTCCTTGTCGGACGCGAGCGGCCCATGTGGCATCCCCTTGGTCAGCAGGCTGGATTCCGGGTGACTGGCGGGTGCGGTGTAGGGAAGGCAGGTGGGCCCTGGCTCGAGGTGGACCTCGCGGCGGGAGGTCCGGCCGGGGTGGGGCCTCGCTTGGAGGGCCCGGGAGCCCCCGCGCCAGGATGCGGGGGTGGAGGAGAAGGTTTGGTGGCAGGAGGCTGGGCCCCCTGCGGTGAAGTCCCGGTGGTCGGCCTGCTTGGCTTCCGTGTTCGCCGGCGTTTGCGTTTCTTGGAGCCGATTTGGTTCTTCGGTAGAAGAGTGGATGGTTTTGGTTGTGGTGCCCTGTAATTCGTTCCTTACAGCACCGGTCCCCGGTGACGTGGGGTCCGGCGCATAGAGCACACTTCGGCGTGCATTCGTGAGGTGCGCGAGCACCATCTATGAGTGGCACTGTGTTGCCACAGGTACCACAGAGGTCCGGTTTAGGGCTAGGGCAAGCGTCGGGTCGATGCCCAACTGAGCCGCACTGGTTGCAGGCTGGTACAGTTTTTCTGTATGGCTGCACCGGGATCAGCAGGGTGTCATAGGTGACGTACCTGTGCTTCACCTTTCCTGCAAAAGTGAGCCGCACCTTGTTGGAGGTGCCCAAACGCCGGATGTGCAGTATTTCGCCTTCCGGCCAGTAGAAGCGTTGGCGAAGTTCGGCTTCAGAGTCAGAGCTGCGCACTGTCACCACTCCGTAGCAGGAGTCCTGGGTGTCCGCGCGGAGATACCCGAACAGGGGCACCGGTCCGACGGATGAAGGAACTGTCAGTTCACCAATTAGTTTGTCCGCAATAAGCGGATGTGGGGTGTAGGCCAGGATGAGGTTTTGGTCCTGCACCATCACGACTGTGACCAGCCGGTTCGCGTTCACTCTCTCGCTCCGAGGTGGGCGATGAGCGCGCTGCCGGCTCCGTTCTCGGGGAAAACGGCGGTGAGGGATAGTTGTGTCCGTGCTTTCAGAACAACAACAAAATCAGTTTCCTTCGGCTTCGGCCGAGGCTGCCACGAGGGCCACCTCCTCCCCTGTTGCGGGCCCGCGGAGCGCGGCGCAGGCGGCGGAAGTGCGGAGGAGGAGCGGTCTGCCTCGTCGACAGCCGTGGTCGGGGAGGCCGCATTGGCGGACGCCGCCACTGCCGCGTCGCTCGCTCGCGTCTTGCCACCGCGGCAGCAAGCGCGGTGCTCTTAATGTTTGGGGCAGCTACCGGCTGCGGTCCGAGGTAGAGATGGTAGTCCACATCATGCGTGGGGGGTCGTATGCCGGTGTAGGGTGCCGCCCACGGTGGACGGTCGTGGTGTGTGGGGGGGACCGATCGCCCATTTTGCCGGTGGGCGGCCATAAGCCAGTAGGCCGAGCGTGGGGGCCCGCCCTCCGGCCGTCCAGATGTAAGCGCCCTGTGAAGTTGTGAGGTTGGGTCCACTTGCCGAATGGGGTGTACCAATGAACCGGATCACATTCCGGTGACGGTGGAGAGGTTTTCCTTGGAGGGTCCGAAGAGGTGGTCAGGAGGTTCCGATCGTGAAAAACGAGGAGCCGAAACGCTGCAGGTCCTAATCATGATCAGTGTTGCTGGCAATGTAGACAGGAAGGTGGTTCCATTCAGATGAAGTCTTGGGCACATAGGAGTGGAAGTAGAAGTTGGTAGGGCAAAATGGCACATGAACTGTGATGTTGTGGTCGATGCGACATAAAACGTTAGAAGATGGCAAGAACAATGTGAGTTATACTTTAGAATTTATGAAAAAAAAATGTAGAAGGGGCATAGACGGGCCTGCTTCTTTTTGTTAGAAAAGGTAAGGAGGTCGAGAGAAGTTTTTATTGATGAGATACTAGAAGTGCGAGAGTATTTATCGACAATGAAATGAGCTGAACAATTCTGAGTGACTTCTAGTGCGTTAATAAGTGTACACGACTGAGGATCCCAGATTGATCAAGCGTACTCGAGTTTAGATTTGACTAGTGTATTATAAAGCAGAAGTTTTAATGAACCAGGTGAAAATGAAAAGTCACGGCGCAAGAAGCCGAGAGTGTGGTTTGCATTGTTAATCACATAAGTAATATGGCTATTCCATGTTAAATGGTTATCAATGTGAACACCTAGATATTTGTAAGTAGTGACAGAAAAAACTGAAAATTAGTATTTGAGTAAACGTGGCTAGTGCAGTCAGTACTTCCCCGAGATATCCTAATTATTTTACACTTATTAGTATTCCCTTTCATGGACCATAGTAAACACCAGAAGGAAATGCTGTCAAGATCGGGTTGAAGTTGTGATTAATCATGTGGGTTAGTTATTATGCGATAGATGACACAATCATCAGCAAAGAGCGCAGGATGGAAGATCATAAATATAAATTAGAAAGAGTAAAAATCCAACGACAGAACCTTGCGGCACGCCAGGTGTTACGGAACAATTAAGTGAGTTATGACCATTACTTGTTACATGTTACAAACAAGAACCATTCAGCCTACTGTAATATCTTTGAGTCAATATTTAGTTAAAAGTCAGGTATGTAAACAAGGAGACTCCCCTCCCCCTCCCCGTCTACATTTCGTACAATCGGCGATTGACGTAACAGTACAGAGTCACAAGTGCAAATAGCGGCGTTCACATTTAAACAAATGAAAGCAAACGTAAGTCGAGGAAATCAACAAGAAACAGCGTTGGAGATAGGGTGGCGTCTTGACAGAGCGGCGGAGTTCGAAGTGAAGTGAAAGATTCCACGAGTGGTAGCAACACAAAGATAGAGGGCAAACTACGCTTGTAGTTCTGCCGAATAGTACTACAGGCGAGCCATATTGTTCATTTTGTACATATATGATCTGAAAGCTTCCCTCAAGCGGCAATTGGCGAACCACCGGAAAACACTGCAAAGTTTGCGATTTGTGTTGCCAAAGCGTGCCTTTAAGGCAAATTGGTATCTCTGCAGGTGGCCTTCAATTTTTACCTGAAAGATATGATAGCAGCTCGTATTCTTACACTAAAAGGTGAATGGAAAATCTGAAAAACCAAATGGCAACCCATGCAAGAGAAGGAACTTCGCCGCTTTGCGACGGGTGCTTTAGCTGAGTGCGACGAAGCCTTTTTCTCGAACGTTCACACGCTCTTCAACGCAGCGCTCCCAGTGAGTACAGGAGCTGCAGAACGCAGATTCTCGACAGTGAAATGATTAAAAATATATCGGAGGAATCGGACGGCTGAAGAGCGGTTTAATGGCATAGTCCTTGTGTCCATTCACCGGACGCAAGTCAGTGTCGACAGTCATCGCTGTGTTTATGGAGAAACCACCATGAATGAAAATCGCGACATGAATCGCTCTCTTCGGCAAGTCTCCATGTTCGTTTCTGTTTTTTATCTTTTGCATAGGCCTTTTACTATATGTTGAAATCATTTGCAATGCCATTCTTTAAAACTTCTTGCGTATCAGTTTCTGCCGGTCCTTTCTCAAGTCTAGGCGAATTCGAGACCGTACCATTCTATGGTCACTGCATCGTACCTTGCCAACCACTTCCACATCCTGCACGATGCCTGGGTGTGCACTCATTATAAAGTATATTTCGTTCTTATTTTCGCCATTAGGGCTCCTCCACGTTCACTTGCTGTTTCCTCGTTTTCGGTAGAAGGTATTCAAAATTCGTAAATCTTTAAAACTGCTTGTTAAAATGAATGTTAGCGTTCTGCATCTTTTGCGTCAAGAAAGAATCCGTGTTTTGGTTCTTTATTTTCAAATAAAATTGTTTTCTCTAATGTCTCCGTTCTTTGTGTAAGAATTGATGCCATAAAATTTCCCATGTTTTTCTCGCACGCCTGTTGTTGAGTGTGAAAAGTTCGGTAGAGAAAGTGTTTGGCATATTATTTTTTATTTTGCCGCACATCCGCGATTCGGTGTCCGAATCCCTCTCATTCCTCCTCCCCCTATTTTTTTCTATTTTGTAAGTTTTTTTAAATTCACGGACTCTGTGTGGCCCTAGGTCGATATTATTTGGTTGGAAAGCATCTTTTTGGTGCGCAAGCATTAGCTTTACTGCAGTGTAGATGTAGATGTAGATGTAGATCCTAAAATTGTGTCGAAAAATTGAGTTCCACTTTGTCCTCATTTTCTTCTATTAACTGAGCACCTTCTATACTCCTACACAACTTTTTTCTTTTTGTCAAGGAAAGACTTGCTCTCAAACAATAATGTCTCTTCTCACCTTCCCTTGCCAAAAAAAAAAAGAATATCCTGGCTACTTGTCTGTTAGGAGTCTGATTACAACTACGTCAATTGTTTTTTCATGTAAGTCTGTAGTAGGCTCCTCCACCCTGTAATCGGCAAACCCTGTTGATATGTAAGAAAAAAAAAAAGCCCCCAGGGCATGCATCCTTCTCAGTCGACTGGAAGGCGAAAACCATTTTTTTTATATCGATGTATTAAGCCCCCTATTCACCCCCCTCCACCGTCTCCTGAAAGTTTTCTGCAACTAACGTAGTCGTGCCCCCAGGATCGGATATAATTTAAGCTTTCGGCCCCTAGCCTCATTCTGCCTTGCCTACGAGATCAGCCCACCCTTCAGCGAGCAAACACGTCTTGTAATGACGTCACCATGTCACTTAACGTTATGAGGTGTCGCAGCGACGTACATCACGTGATAATACCTCACTGCATCACTCGCGTCGACGCCGCCGACGGCTGACACGGGCGCTCGGGAGACTTGTCGATTCTCGGGATTGCTGAGGTACGTAAGGCCCTAATAAATCAATAAATTATCCACCGTGGAGGAGCAGTGGTTGTGGTGCTTGGTTGCTGATTCGAAGGTCGCGGGTTCTATCCCGGCCGCGGTGTTCGCATTTCAATGGAGGCGAAACGGTAGAGAGCCGTGCACTGTGCGAAGACAGTGCACATTAACAAACACAAGATGGTCGAAATTTTCGATGCCCCCCCCCCCCCCGATGGCGTCTCTAATAATCATGCTGGGGTTTTGGGATGTAGAACTCCATATATTATTATGATAATTGTAACTAACTAACTAACTAACTAACTAACTAACTAACTAACTAACTGACTGACTGACTGACTGACTGACTGACTGACTGACTGACTGACTGACTGACTGACTGACTGACTGACTGACTGACTGACTGACTGACTGACTGACTGACTGACTGACTGACTGACTGACTGACTGACTGACTGACTGACTGACTGACTGACTGACTGACTGACTGACTGACTGACTGACTGACTGACTGACTGACTGACTGACTGACTGACTGACTGACTGACTGACTGACTGACTGACTGACTGACTGACTGACTGACTGACTGACTGACTGACTGACTGACTGACTGACTGACTGACTGACTGACTGACTGACTGACTGACTGACTGACTGACTGACTGACTGACTGACTGACTGACTGACTGACTGACTGACTGACTGACTGACTGACTGACTGACTGACTGACTGACTGACTGACTGACTGACTGACTGACTGACTGACTGACTGACTGACTGACTGACTGACTGACTGACTGACTGACTGACTGACTGACTGACTGACTGACTGACTGACTGACTGACTGACTGACTGACTGACTGACTGACTGACTGACTGACTGACTGACTGACTGACTGACTGACTGACTGACAATAACTAACTAATTAGAATAATAAGAGCAAGTTACTTTAACAGGCTGGAACTCACTTACCAATATATACTGGACGTTCTTTTCCTTTTTATTCTGTTACTTGAGCTCTCGTTTCCTGAAGTGTTTAGTGAACGTTAAGCATAAGTCATCCATCACTTAGAGTTTGCTGTGAGGAAGATGTCAAGGTCAGCGCCGTAGTACCGAAAGTTCG